AGTTCATATAACATACAAAATATTCTAATTATAATACATCATGTTATGCATAATTTACCCACAAACTACCTGACCTAACACGACCTGACCTATAATATTGTTCTAGTAACCTATTTCTACAGTCTATTGAAATTCATCAATTACTTACTAGTCATAGATCAATGCTAATTAACAATGGAATTTTGTGTTTGTGGTTTTATTATTGTTATTTCCATATATTTACTTAATTATTTCATTTATGCCTGTTATAATTTGTATTAATTATCCATTTATTATCACATTAACATAACTTTATGTTAGAATTGAAAATCAAGAATGGCTAGTTAAAAGAATAAAAACTATATAAGCAAGACAATTCTGTTAATGAAAATTTCGTTCAAATATCTGGCAAAATCGAGCAGCTAATCTATAAAAAAGGCTTCACACAGTCGGCGCTCAGTAATTTTTATCATTTTATTTAGCAGTATCCTTTCCCCATTATTTCAAAGTTCTGCAGCCACCACATTCACTGCTACTATGAATAAAAAAAATTAAACTTATAGACTTATTTTGATTTTTCTCATGAAACGTCTTGTCTCATCAAGTTATGTGAACAATGGTATAGTTTGTGGAGGTATCATTAAAGAATAAGAAGAATGTTGGCAGTAGTTGAAATTGGAAGAGTTTAAAAAATAATGAAATAGTAACTTGCTATGGCTATTGATTCTATTGTATTTTTTTTTATAGATTGTTACTATAATTAACAAAATAATCAATATAAATTGACATTGTTTTGTTTTTCTTAAGAGGATATACTCATCTGAATTTTTGTGTACCTACAATATAGCTACATTTCATCTGTTCAAGTATTTTTTTAGACACTTATATATTTTGATGATAATCAAGTATTCTTATAAATCAAAAACTGCATGTCTTTATCTGGATATTTAGATAGTGTTTTGTTTGTATGTTTTTCTCATAATTGAAGACACACCAGATTTTAATTTTGAAAAGTGATACAGATAGCTGAAATTGTACTCCAGTAGTAGGGAAAGCATACTTATATCTCTAAATCAATATAATCTTTTAATGATTGAATGATTATTAAACCTGATCTGACTAAAGTCTACTGAGTAGTTCTTCTTTGATTTATTAACTGATGTCATATGAAATTAATGTGGAATCTCCAGATATTTGTTCATTAACATTAAGACAATTAATTGTGTCTGGACAGAGATCAAACTAACTTTTAAATTATTTTTTTGCAATTAATCATGTTAATCAGACAAACACTATGTTGAATTTCTATTTATACTAAGAGTTCTGTAAAACTATTTCAATGCAAAATACACGAGGAAATCTTTAAAGCTCTGTTTACACAAGGTATATTTTCTCTTGATTAACTGAAATATTGGTGTGAGGTGTACTGCTATCTGGTGGAAGTAACATGTGTGCTAGGATTTATATGTTCACTTTGCAAGCTATCCATGAAAGCAATTTGTTGCTGGGCTTCCAAATATTTGTTAGAAACTTTGTAGTTCAGCCAGACTGTCTCAGCATGGAGAAATCAACACAATTTACCCATCCTAATCAAAAAAGATTTGTTTGTGTGAATAAGCCTTTACAATACAGAATGCATCTGTCATATTAAAATCATCTGTTGTGAAATCCTTGTTGCGTTATATTGTTCTGTTTTATTGTTTATTGATCTAGATACCAATGACATTTTTTCAAATCTAGGACTTTAATGTAACAATACAGTGGTGTAACCTATTTTCGTGGATATAAGGATTCAACACTGAATTTCATCAAAGTTAAAAAAAACAGAAAAGTTTTTTATGTCTTAAATGTTTCCTCAGATATTCTACAAAATAATTAAAATTGGTTTAGTTCGATTATCTTTATGAATCCTTCACTTTGACCCATATTTCATGAGCAACCAACTCGGGAACGGCGGCAGAATGCGTCACCTATTTTCGTGTACAATGTTTGATACATTAATAAGTCGAGAAAAACACGTTGGATACGGGGTGGTATAATTAACTTCTCTTAGTATTTATCTTTAATATCAATTCATTATAACTCTGTGACAATTCCTTCAAAGACCCACGATTTAAAAAAAAAATAGTGACTGACAAAATAAGATACGTAGCATGATTTATTGCTAAAAGTCACTGAAACAACATAAGAATATGGTCCACTTTGTGTTCCATAGAAATTTTCTGCTGACACGGAATCCGCTAGTTGATCACGTGACTTCATTCGTTGGACTACATTCTAGCAGTCGACACTTGGAATTCAGATTACAGCGTAGGATTATAAGGAAATTCGACAGTCATGAAATTTACAGTCATTGTAAAAGTAATTTAATATAATGTTAGAAAAAAAGCATCTTTGAAGGTGTGTAAAATTACATTAAACAGGGACTACTTTTTCTTACCCTAGTTGACAGCTGTCAAAATATACATCAGAGGCTGAAGTAGAGGCAGATGTTTCAGACTACATGTACATATGGTAGTGGAAAATACATAGATTATTTTTTATCTATTTGAAAAAGCTGTGCTTACAAGTAAATCAAAATAATCTTCTATTGATTCAGGTCTAGACTTTCATTGTTATATATTTTATTTTTCTGATTTAACTTGAAGTCAATGACTATAAATTGTACTTTATCATTTAATAGACTTCTAACATAACAGTAAATGGTGATTGGCTATAAAAGTGCTTTACTATTTCTTTTTACCCTTCAATAATGAGTTATAGATTTGGAAACATATGCAACATATGTGCAAGGGGCACAACTCTTATTAAGAGATCTATTTATAAGTTACATGTAAATCTATTGAAATTGCTTTTTGATGCATAATGTTTTACACATTTATACCCAAAATAGTTCAGTTTAAAGTTTTGAGGAATGAGGAACTTTCCCACATTACTGATGTAAACTATGTGGTATGACACCATTTATTTTCTCTATTTTATCTGTGCCATTTTGTCTAAAAGTATTCAACCAATACAAATATGCTGCTTCTATTTTACCATGTGTAGTTAACCTCAGTTCAGATTGTATCAACCCATGGATTGTCTCAATTAATTGAGCACTAATCATTAATTAACATTCTTCGCATCTTATAGAATTATCCTTCAATTCAACTTTATGGTAACATCAGGGTGAGCACTTTTCAGCATCTGCTTGGCAACAGTCAATGTTTGCTTGTTTCTGTCCGCTCTCCTTCAGCTCACTTAAGACTTAGATCAAGAAAAATATAATGTAGTCTTCATACATTCTGGATTCTGAATGTTATTTGCTAATTGCAGTGTAATATTCTTATAATACTTCCACAGTAGTTTTAGGTATTTGTATGTTTTCTTGGTTTAGAAATGATGGGAGTGGGGCTGTGTACATGTATTTATATAAGAAATCAATAGGGTTCAATGTTTTAGGTTATATGTAGTTACAGAAGAAAATCAAATAATACCAAAATCAATTGATCAATTATGGCAGGATAGATAATGTTTCTGAAATGAAATTGTGAGGGGTCCTACAGTTTTTTAAAGTAAAAATTATGATGAATACATTGAAATTATGCTATTAGGTGTGAAGAGTTCATGGTCATTGTGACATGCATACTTGGGAAAGGTTCCAACTGGAGTAATTGTGATAGATTATGCAGACATTCTTCTGACAACATAGTTATTTCATTCAACCAACTGACTTTTTTGAATTACCTTGTACTGTGGCATATCATTAGTACTATGGCAGCCTAACAAGACAATTTGACAAATGGTCTTACTGTTAAATATTAGTTCTTATTTAATTGGTATTTATTACTTTTTCAGATTGTAAGTTAGGATGTAGTCATGATTGTGAAAGAGCAGAAGATGGAGAATATTTTTGTTTCTGTGGAGATGGATTTCGTCTAGCAGCAGATAATACTACTTGTGTTGAAAAAGGTAGATATGGTGTATACCTTACCTCTCATGTGATATAATAATGTAAATATCTGCTAAACCAGCTGATAGAACTTGAGAGAAGATTTCCACACCACTTTTCAGAATTAGAAAATGACATACGAGCTGTTGCAGATGAAGCTGGTGAAACAGGACATTTTCACCCTTCTAGAACAGCTATTTAAGTTTATCAGTTCTGTATGTCTCAAGCACTTATGTAATCTACTGAAAGATTTGAGTGGATACAATCCATATTTCTTGAATATAATTTGTTTGCTGTCCAATGAAAATTTAGATGCAATCATAGGCCAAGAATAACCCAAATTGCAAGAGTAATCAGTAAAGAGCTTTAAACAGATACAGTACAGATGTACTTAGTAATAATTGAAAAAGGGTTTGAGTGAAATTGGCAAACTATTTATAAACTTCAATGTTAATAGAGGAAATGCATATATGCAAATATATAATGCATTTTCAATATTTTTGTGGTAAATTTCGCACAGAAGTAATTGCCAAACATATTTTTTTTGGTTTTATTTGTTTATATTTTGTTCTACTTAATTTTAAGATCTGGAAATTAATGATTATTTATTTCAGAAATGTATAGAATATCTGTAGAATTTCCATTGAAAGGTGTTCCCTTTAGTTCATCTATGTTGGATAGAATTATCAGAAAAAGATTGAAAACATTTACTGTACGTAACATAGATTTTATTTCACCATTTGTATCTGTATTATAAACAGAATGTTATATCCTATATAAAATATAATCTGTATTAGAAACTGAGGAAAATAATACCTAATATACAATATAATCTGTCATACAATCAGAGGAAAGTTATACTCAATATACAATATAATCTGTAATACAGAGGGAAGTTATACCCAATATACAATATAATCTGTAATACAATCACAGGAAAGTTATACTCAATATACAATATAATTTGTCATACAATCAGAGGAAAGTTATACTCAATATACAATATAATCTGTAATACAGAGGGAAGTTATACCCAATATACAATATAATCTGTAATACAAACAGAGGGAAGTTATACCCAATATACAATATAATCTGTAATACAATCAGAGGAAAGTTATACTCAATATACAATATAATCTGTAATACAAACAGAGAAAAGTTATACCCAATATACAATATAATTTGTCATACAATCAGAGGAAAGTTATACTCAATATACAATATAATCTGTCATACAATCAGAGGAAAGTTATACTCAATATACAATATAATCTGTCATACAATCAGAGGAAAGTTATACCCAATATACAATATAATCTGTAATACAAACAGAGGAAAGTTATACTCAATATACAATATAATCTGTAATACAAACAGAGAAAAGTTATACCCAATATACAATATAATTTGTAATACAAACAGGAAAGTTATACCCTATATACAATATAATCTGTAATACAAACAGAGGAAGGGTATACCAAATATACAATATAATCTGTAATACAAACAGGGAAGTTATACCCTATATACAATATAATCTGTAACACAAACAGATGAAAGTTATACCATATATACAATATAACCTGTAATACAAACAGATGAAAGTTATAACCAATATACAATATAATCTGTAAAATACAAATAGAGGGAAGTTATACCCAATATACAATATAATCTGTAATACAGAGGGAAGTTATACCCAATATACAATATAATCTGTAATACAAACAGAGGGAAGTTATACCCAATATACAATATAATCTGTAATACAAACAGAGGGAAGTTATACCCAATATACAATATAATCTGTAATACAAACAGAGGGAAGTTATACCCAATATACAATATAATCTGTAATACAAACAGAGGGAAGTTATACCCAATATACAATATAATCTGTAATACAAACAGAGGGAAGTTATACCCAATATACAATATAATCTGTAACACATACAGATGAAATTATACCAAATATACAATATAATCTGTAATACAAACAGAGGGAAGTTATACCCAATATACAATATAATCTGTAACACAAACAGATGAAATTTATACCAAATATACAATATAATCTGTGTTATAAACAGAAGAAAGTTATACCAAATAAACAGTATATATATTATAAATACATTAGTGAAATCTGTATCTGTAGGGAATAGAAATATTAAAAAAACAACTGTTTTTGCAAAACTTCCCTAATTGTATGGCATTGTTCATTAGTCCAATCGCGTGCAGAAAATTAAGATGTAAAAACAATTTATTTCATTTTTATTTCAAAAAATCATTTTTGAATGATTAAATGTTATTCTTGGTTATGACACAAATAGCTAAAGGAAAAGAAATAGTTTTAATTTCCAAGCAAAGTATCAAATTCGCTTGATATCTGTGTTATTTTAAGAGCTATCTATAATTCTCTATATGTTCCATGATATTTTAATAATATAATATGAATATAAGTAACATTGTCCTAGTAGCCTTAAAAGAACAAAATTTAAGATAAAATTGTTTTGTAAAACTCAGTTGGGGTAAAAAAGATTGTCATTACTAATTTTCCATGGATCACTAACCTATTATAACCAAACAGAACTGACATATCTATCAGTATTAGATTGTTTTGGGGGAGGAAGGGTGGAAATGGTACAAAATAATAAGTCTATTGCAATAAAATATTCCCTTTGGAGGTACCACAGACAACAATCTATGAAATGGGAGTAGATAAAAAATACTCTGTTTTTGTCCTTAAGAGCTTCTAAGATCTGAAAACCACAATGTCAGTGACATTGAGACAATTGGTATCATTGGCTCAATATCTTAGATTGAATGATATGGCTAAAGTTTCTGAATTTAAGTGTACGATGTTAAATTACCAAAATAGTTAATTCAGTGATGCCTTTGATGTTCATGTCATTGACATGTTACTCAATGCTGTTCACTAAGTTCACTAAGATGGGTTCACTGGGACTGGTTCACTCTTAATTTTTCTGGAATATAATCTAAAATCTACTATATATAATCTGAGAAATGTTGTCTTCAAATATATATAACCTACTGTCGACGTTTCATGTTTGTGTTTGATCCTAAGAGATATTTGTGTTATATCTTTTTAAAATCTCTTAAATAGTCATGACACAAAAAATAATCGGATCAAAATTTTTCAAAATTCTAGAAATGGAGGACAAAGGAAGTTTAGACTCTCCTTGCAGATGAACTTGAAAATCTTTTCAAACAGATACTTAAAGGTATACTACCTCTTAGGATGATCAAAAATAAAAAAATTTACACTTGGTTTTTGTTCATCAGTGGACTCGAATCCCTCTTTAATCCAAAAAAATCCATAACTTAGTAATAATTTATTAAACTAAATAATTTTGAAACATGCTTAGAAGCGTGGTGTTTCAATAATTATTTAGTTTAATGGATATATTGTCTTATATAGAGATTCTATTCTTTAGTCATTGCACCTGATAACTGATGAATATATACACTTGTTGACAAAGTTTGATATTTTAAATTTTAAGTCCATTGTAAGAGGTAGTATTCTTTTAATAGACCTTTGGTCTTAACTTGTGCATTTTGTATCTGCATGTCATATGAGGATATTCTTTCCACTGCTTTAACATGAGAAGCTGCTTACCAGTCTTCATAATCTAGCCATGGTTGAAAAGACTGTGACAAAAGACTACTTCAGACTTTGCCTCTCTTGACAAAAGGTCAATTGGTGCTTATGTAATTTGTAATAACTGATACTAGATTCTTTATTAGGGTTTAAAAGATCTCCTTTATTATACTTCTTCAGTTACATGTTTCCTAGTAGTCTATTGTCTGTAGGGTACATCTTCTAATTTCTTCTTTTATGTAACAACTCCAGTTAAAGATGTCTGAAGACACAGGTCTTGAACATTCCTCTGTTGGATGACAATCAATTTCTCCTCACTCCAATGCTGAAATTATGTGACTCGAACAAAAGGTGTATTCCACTGAGCAATATCAAGTCCACCGAAATTAATGTTGATGGAACATGCTTTTTTACTGGATGTTCCGAATTGACTCGGTTTAATTCGATTTATTAAAGCAGAGGTCATCAGGTTTAGTCAAGAGAGAGTTATTGATACGAAGAAACAAAGTTGCTACATAAAAATAAAAAAACAGCACTAAAATTTGTAAAATTGTGTAAGGGATAGCTTAATTTCAGATTTTTGGTCAAGACAAAAAATGGATTAGAATGCTTATCTGTTTCCTTTGGTGTTTTTCTGCAGATTCCATTAACTTATTATGATCTGACGAAATTGCTCTGCTATGATATTCAACCAATTAAATTCTCTGTTCCATGAAAGATTTTTTTACCATATGTGAAGAAAATTGGGCTATACATTGTTAAAAGTTGACTCTTATTGTAAGTCCGATTTTAACAGTGTTTTGAGTTTCTTCAGCTTACCAAAAATTTTGACAATTTTTTATTCTGTTGAGTCCAAATTCAACAGAATGCAATTTGATTAAGATTCTAGTCAGATCATCCAAAAACAACCTTGAAACATCTGGATTTCTGTATAAGACAATGAAACAAAAACTTATGAATAGAAACAATTCCAGAAACAAATGACACCGCCTTCTCAATTTCATCTCTGTATGAGAATGTTAATATTTAGTTCTGATACATCTGAACTAATGCATCAATTTGACATCATAACCTGAATGAACAATTTAGCCAAGTAATTTCCTATTAAATCTGTCAAAAAATATCAAATCTCAAGAAAATCCAATTTTTCCAATGCATTAAATACAATTCTAAAAATGAATATAATTTTTTGTTGTGAATTTGTCAAACAATTTTTGCTGCTTTTGTTTGAAGGGTATAATTTTATTGTGGCATTAAGAAGCAGGTTACCAGAATTATACCATTCTTATCTGTCTGTATTACAATAACATAGAATTATGGCATTCAGAGCAATTCCATGACAAAATAAAAGTGAGAGATTTAGTGGTGGAGCTAGCTTCCTGGAAATGGAGGTGTAAAAAGAGCACAGATGGTTGAGGTTGAGATTCTAGAGGGTTGTAGAGGGTCTGATGGGGTTTCTATACAATTTATGAAAAATAGAGCTGTTTCATTGCATTCTTTTTCTTACAACTATGTCTTTTTCGGTGCAAAAATATTTATCTTTAATCGTTTTCAAAGTCCTATCTCATTGATATTCTAAACTAGTTTACAGTCTGATTGAGTTCTGTACTGAATCTAAGTCAGTTATTTTCCATGTGAATGCTTTCTTTAAACTTAATTAAAGGAATGAGATCAGATGTTCATGAGTAGAATACATAGTATAAAATTAAAATATTTATACTTTTAACCCAGAGGAAGGATACCAAGTCTATTGTATTTTTCAGTCATTTCTGATTGCAGTTAAAACTTGTTAAAGGCATATTTGATTGTGTATGAGCCATACTTGGTGAAATGAAATTCATAATGCAATTTAAATTAACTGAAATTTTACACCAAACTAAAAGCACCGACACTCAGTCTTGAATTCTCTAGAATGATAAGCTTGCCAGTCTATTGGGGCAGTAATATTTTCTGTGAGCTGATGACTGGTTTATATAATCTGTAGAACAAATTACTTCGTAGGATTATTGGTTTGTGAAGCATAGAATATCTATTTACCTTAAATCATATAGGATTGCTTATTTCCAACAAGACAGCAATACCAAGCATTGATTTTTCAATGAAGATATTTCATGTCTAGTACAAATACAGTAGAAACTGTATAAAGAGACCACTCAAGTGAATTTTCCAAAATGGTCTCTTAAAGAAGTTGGTCAGGGTCAATTTTATTGAATTAATCTTGTGATAATCAGCAAATACAATCCCTTTTAATGGGGACTGGTCTTGTAATGAAAGAGGTCGCTAATCAGTTGTTGATTGTGGTCGCATATTTAAGGTGATTGTTTAATAAAGGTGGTCACATGAGCAGGATTCACTGTATGTATGTTGTGATAATTTTAACTTATGTTGTGTTTCATGTAATGCATTATGACAAAAAATTTTTTTCCCCAAAATTGATATGAAAATAATTGCCTACTGTTGCTGGAGCATCATATCAGGCTCAAAAACTTGACTTGGTCATACCTGCAAATAATTACTATTACTAGTCATATTTCTGAATAGTTTGTTAATGGTTTGGATGTTTTGATGATTTGGTCAACTGAAGTGATGACAATTTTTTGGGTTATATAAAAGCTAACATTCTACTTTAACAAAGTCAGAGCTGTGTAAATTTTCAAATGAGATCATACTAATTGAAAACCTAGTTTCCAACTGTCAAAATCCCTGATTCATTTTAAAAAATCTACAAAAATTTTTAACATTTGAATTTGTTTCTCTCCATCTTTCTTAAGATTGAAAAAATTTAATTAGAATGTGAGAAAGTTCTAGAATGAAAATGAGAAAAAAAATATAGAAAT